TGTGAGTTCAAGTCCCACATTATGTGTGGAGATTACATTATGTGTGGAACATATATATATATATATATATATATATATATATATTCTCTCTCTCTCTCTCTCTCTCTGTCTCTCTCTCAAACACTTAGTGAACCAACTCACACTATTTGGGCCTTGGAGGCCAACCCGTTGGTTTAGAGCCGCAGGACTAAAGGTAATTGTCTTGCCAGTAGGTCTGACTCCTGGGGGCAGGAGGGAAAACAAGGAAAATTTGCAGCCAGGCCATATGAAGTATGTCCAACCATGTCTTCCTGGTGTGGCTCTAGCGTCCTGCCTCTGTTTCCCCATTCCTTATCTCTTGGCTCCCTTCTTGTTGTGGAATAAAAAGAGGTAACCGGTTTAGGTTCTCCTAGATCGTGGCAGCTTTCTAAAACAAAGGATCTGCTGGCTGTCTGAGGCCACTGCAGGTAAAAAGAACCAGAACGACAGGAATGGGGGAGGAGCAGACTGTTCTCTCAGCCTGTCTCCTCTGCGTCCTCTATTCAACACTCACTTACAAACATTTGAAGGTAAACAAGCTTCAGCCCACATCCTCTAAGAATCCTTAGTGCATGGGACACACAGGTAAATACGCATTTATAATACATGTGGAAAGTACAGTAAACATCAACCCTAGCTTTGGGGTGGGTCACAGAAGGATTTCCAAGGGAGGTAGTGTTTGAGTTGGATCTTGAAGGAGGAGTTGGAATCAGCCTGGCCTGACATGGTGTTCCAGAGGAGGGTGCTAAGACCCAGTGCTGAGAGAGACTGAGCAATAAATGTGTCAGAAACTGCTAGATGTTGAGTGTGGCTGGAAAATAAGTGGGGTGTGTGTGTGTGTGTGTGTGCGTGTGTGTGTGTGTATCCAAAGGCAAGCAGGGGTTAGAAGGGTCATGAAAGCCGAGAGAAGAGCACTGGAAGCTTTTAAGTAGCTGAACGACAGTGTTATTCTTAGGGTAGGGTTCTTCTGGTTGTTACGTGGAGAATGGATCTAAGGGGCAACCTAGAAGCTGAGAGCAGGTCAGAGGCCGCTGTGATCCGGCAAGAGATTGGGGTATTGGGATGTGGGTGAAGGAGGAGTTAACGGATGGATTTGAGAGCTATGAAGGCAGTAGAAGGTACTGGATCTAGGTTTATTATAATGATAATATGGACAATAACATCATACAGTGACTTAAACAATAGCTCTGGTTTCGACAACAACAACAAAAATAGCTCTGGTTTCAGATGAGTGGAAATCTTCCCACACAGGCAGCACAAGAGGCATGGGTAGGAATCTCCACTCTGCCCTTTTTATTTGGAAAAATTTCAGACCTCAGGAATTCCAAGATAGTTTCTGCCAACACCCATATATCCTTCACTTACCTGTTGTTACATTTTGCCTTTCCCTTAATCTCTTTCTCTCCCTCTCTATTCTCCAACACCCCCCCCCCCATGCCTTTAATATTTAGGCGTGTTTATGTACAGCTTTTTTTCTAAACCACTTACAAGTTAGTTGTAGAAATTATGATACCATATCTCTAAATACTTCAGCACTCACCTCCTTGAATAAGAGGATTCTCTTAGATAATTAGAATACCAATACCTGTAAAAAAATTTAAAAAAAAATTTTAATGTTGAGTATTTGAGAAAGAGAGCAAAGGAGGGAGGGGCAAAGAGAGAGGGAGACACAGAATCTGAATCAGCTTCCAGGCTCTGAGCTGTCAGCACAGAGCTTGATGCGGGGCTCAAACCATGAAATCATGACCTGTCGGGGCGCCTGGGTGGCTCAGTCGGTTAAGCGGCCGACTTCGGCTCAGGTCATGATCTCGCGGTCCATGAGTTCGAGCCCCGAGTCGGGCTCTGTGCTGACGGCTCAGAGCCTGGAGCCTGTTTTGGATTCTGTGTCTCCCTCTCTCTGACCCTCCCCTGTTCATGCTCTGTCTCTCTCTGTCTCAAAAATAAATAAACGTTAAAAAAAAAATTAAAAAAAAAAAAAAAAGAAAGAAATCATGACCTGAGCCGAAGTCAGATGCTTAACCGACTGAGCCACCCAGGTGCCCCTTTAAAAATTTTTTTAAAAAAATGTTTATTCATTTTTGAGAGAGACAGAGACAGAGCAGCAGCGGGAGAAGGGCAGAGAGAGAGAGGGAGACACAGAATCCGAAGCAGGCTCCAGGCTCTGAGCCATCAGCACAGAGCCCAACACAGGGCTCAAACCCATGAACTGGGAGATCATGACCTGAGATGAACTCAAGACGCTTAACCAACTGAGCCACCCAGGTGCCCCTAGAACACCAGTATTTTAGCAAGAGAAATAGAACATTGATGCAATACTATAATCTAATATAAAGTTCATATTAAAATTTTCAAGTTTTCCCAATAATATCTTTTAAAGCTGCTGCTTAGTATTTAAAAAAAAATCTCATATCCAGTTGGAGATTGTGCATTGTATTTAGTTATCAGGCCTCTCTTTTCTTCCTTCCTTCCTTTCTTTTTTTTTTTTTTTTTTTTTTTTTTTTTTTTTTTTTTTTTTTTTTGGTGGGAGGGGTCAGGGTTAGAAATGTTAGTTTACTTATTTATTTATTTAAATGTTTATTTTTGAAGGAGAGAGAGACAGAACATGAGCAGGGGAGGGACAAAGAGAGAGGGAGACACAGAATCCGAAGCAGGCTCCAGGCTCCGAGCTGTCAGCACAGAGCCCCACGTGGGGCTCGAACTCACGAACCACGAGATCCTGACCTGAGCTGAAGTAGGACACTTAACTGATTGAGCCACCCAGGTGCCCCGAAATGTTAGTTTATTTAAAGAAGATAATTGAACACAATAAAGGAGTCCAAATGCAATCAATCCTACTTTTTTCTCTATAAAGATTATTTTTGTAACTTTTTATTTTGAAAGAATTTCAAAGTTACAGAAAAGTTGCAAAGATGGTAAGAAGGATGTTGGTATGTGTTTTACTCAGAATCACCAGTTATTTACTTTATCACATTTACCTTACGATTCTCTTGTCTACAAATATATGTTTGTACTTTTTTTGTGAACAATTTGAAAGTAAATTGCCTCTCTTGCCCCTAAATACCACGGGGTACAATTTCTAAGGACATTGTCTTATGTAACCACAGTACTAGTACCAAAATCAGGAAATTTCACATTGATACTATACTATCCATATTTAAACATCTCTAATTGTTGCAAGAATGCCCTTTATAGTTTTTTTTTTTTTTTAAGAGAACTGGGATCCAATCCAGGATCACACATTGAATTTAATTATTGTGTCTGTTTAAACTCCAAGATTGCTTAGCTTGTGTATGTGTATTTCACAACATTGACCTTTTTTGAAGAGTTCAGGCCACTTGTTTTGAAGAATGTTCTTTAATTTGGATTTGTGTTTATTGGCCAGGATTAGATTCAGGGGAACATGTTTGAATGCTACATAAGTAATGGTATGGCCTTTTGAGTGCAAAATATTAGGGGGCACATGTTTAGATGTTAAGTTTTATCATTTGGGTAAGCCAGGTTGAAAATTTGGAAGTTTATTCTGCTGTTTGGACAAGTTGGTTATTGAAAGGGTTTTCTCAGTTGTCAAATGAGGACAATAATGACCCAGGTTTCACAAGGTTGTTGAATTGATACATGTAAAGCACTTAGAACAGTGCCTGGCACATTGTAAGTATTTGATAAATTATTATTATCATCACTATTTTTATCAAAGTTTATAGAAGCCTTTTTAAAATTCTTAAAAAAATGTGTATTTATTTTTGAGAGACAGAGAGCGCGCGCGTGCGTGCATGAGTGGGGGAGGGGCAGAGGGAGAGAGGGAAACACAGAATCGGAAGCAGGCTCCAGGCTTTGAGCTGCCAGCACAGAGCCCAATGCGGGGCTCAAACTCACAGGCTGTGAGATCATGATCTGAGCCGAAGTCAGAGGCTTAACTGACTGAGCCACCCATGCACCCCAATAGAGGCCTTAATATGTAAGAGGTACTGAGTTGTAACTCAATTCTTTACTTTTCTAGCTCCTGGGACAGTGTATGGCATATAGATGACATTTAATAAATATTTGTTGGCAAATGGCAGCTCTCTGAGATATATTACCGTCACTATGCAACCATTTTAGAGATGAGCAAACAGGTTCAGAGCAGTGAAGTAATTTACCTAAGGTCATGCACATTACAGTGAGTGGCAAGAACCGGATGTGAACCTAAGCTTGTAGGGTTTGTAAAATGTGGGATAAGGTGGGGAACAGTTGGCTGGCTCAGCTGGTGGAGTGTGCAACTCTTGATCTCGGGGTGGCAAATTTGAGCCCTACATTGGATGTAGAGATTACTTAAAAATAAAATCTTTTTTCCTTTTTTTTTTTTTTATTAAAGTTTATTTTGAGAGGGGCACCTAGGTGGCTCAGTGGGTTGGGCGACTGACTTCAGCTCAGGTCATGATCTCACAGTCTGTGAGTTTGAGCCCCGCCACTGGACTCTGTGCTGACAGCTCAGAGCCTGGAACCTGCTTCAGATTCTGTGTCTCCCTCTCTCTCTGCCCCTCCCCTGCTTATGCTCTGTCCTTCTCTGTCTCAAAAAAAAAAAAAAAAAAAAAATTTAAAAAGCTTCTTTTGAGACAGAGAGCGCATGTGCACCACCGGGGGAGGGGCAGAGGGAGGGAGAGATTCCCAAGCAGGTTCCATGCTGTCATTGCAGAGCCCCACGTGGGGCTTGAACTCAGTGAGATCATGCCCTGAACCGAAATCAAGAGTCAGACGCTAAACCGATTGAGCCACCCAGGCACCCCCAAAATAAAATCTTTTTTTAAAATGGGGGATAAAGCTTGAAGGTGTTTTGCAAAAGCTCAGGGCTGGGTAGATGTGAAGAGCTGAACTGAAGATAGCCTTGTACAGTGCTCTAGCACAAACACGTGGTAGGCACTCAATAGATGTCTGTTGAATGAATGTAGAAAGCAAATGGGTCACCTAGAAAGAGATCATCCTGTTCCGGCTGGTGACAGCGCGTGTGAATGACCTGGAATCCTTTTCTCCCCGTAGTGGTCCTTGCTAGTCACCAGACCAATTTTTTTTTCCAGAAGGGTGTGGCTTCCGGCGACCCCGCCCTCCCGCAAACCACGCCCCTTGCCCATCCTCGCGCTTGCTGATGTCCGAGGAAGTTTGGCCCGCGGGCGGATCCGTAGCCGTAGTCCCCTCAGGCGTCCGCAGCCAGGAAGCCGGGAAGCCTGGAGTCCAGGATACCGCGCGGAGGTCCAGGATGTCGGAGGAGCAAACCGGGCAGAGCGAAGGCTCCTCTCAGGCTGGTGGAGTGACTGTCAGCGACATCCAGGAGCTGATACGGCGCAAGGAGGAGATCGAGGCGCAGATCAAAGCCAATTATGACGTGCTGGAGAGCGTGAGTGTGGGCTCGGGGTTCCCTGGCGGGAGTAGGAGGAGCCCGGGGCCTCTTGACCTGGCACCCGGTTCTGGGAGGACTGGGAGGCAGGGGAGGCCTGTGCTTGAGCTCTCAACTGTGTGTCTCTCCCTCCCTGGGAAGCCCAAGGCGCGGCAACTGCGGCCTCTGTCGGCAGGAGGCAAGTAATATTAGCAATGAAGAATAATCGGTGTTGGTGCCGTAGCATGGGTTTATGGAGCGCTTACCGTGTGCCGGGCGCTGTTTTAATTGCTTTACGTTGATGAGCTCATTTAACCGTCACAGCAACCTTTTGAGGCTGTTACTCTACCCATTTTAGCGATGAGGAAACAGAGGCGTTACTTAAACGTGCCTCGGGTCACAGAGCTAATACATTTTCAGATGTCACCAGCATCGTCAGTCCTTGTTGACCGTGTACCAGAAGATCTGTGCTTTGCTAACCCGCTCACGTCAGAGCTTCCTAAGCTTTCGTGTGTTTGGCAAGCACTGGGGATCTTGTTAAAATTTCAGTTTCTGATGAGCTCGGGAGTGCAGGTGCAGATGCTGTGTTTCTAGCAAATTCCCAGCGCTGCTGATGCTGCTGGTCTAAAGACCGAGCTTTGAGTGACAGGTAAGGCTCTTTATCATTATTGTATAGGGAGGGAACTGAGGCCCAGGGTGAGGCAAACCCTAGTCTAGGGTCATGTAGCTGGGAAGTGGCAGTGGTGGGTCTAGTTCCCTGGTCGTCTGGCTACCAAACTGATAGTTTTTCTTATGTCACTTAGTGTAAAGCCACAAATCAATTTGCAGAGGAAGAATAAAAGACATCTTATGTAGGGTGGATGGAATGCATTTTAGGTGATGGGAGTAAGATAGAGGCATCATACGGAGGCCAGGGTACCATTTTATTGGTGCTGATTGTATGCCTGAAGAGTGTTGGTTTATGTGTGTGTTAGATCATGAAATCCACACAACCACCCTGTGAAGTTAGGATGTTACCCTGACGCTCAGAAAGGGGAAGTCACTTACTTAAAGTCTCAAAGTGAGATTCAGATATCAAGCCTGTTCAATCCAGAACTTGTGTTTTCAACATTATGCTAACAGTTTCCCAAACTTTAGTTACTTTCTACCTCAAGCAGATGCTGTATCCATATACCTCCTATACTGTTGTTCCCTTGGTATTTTTCTTTAAGTTGATCCACTTTTTTACTTGATTTAGTTTAAATGAAAAATTTATAGCTCTACAGCATATGGGGGAAAATGGGATTTTTTTCCCTTTAATATAAAATAAAAATACGTATCGGTGCTATAATATGTTCATTCCTTGTCATTAGCTACCATCACTGGCTAAAAGCTTGAAGCTTGAAGCCCTGCTCTATGTTTGTTTTCAAAAAGAGACAGCAAAAACTATAAATCTCTTAGAATAAAGCCTAGGAATAAACTTTTGTGACCTTGGATCAGGCAAAGCTTTCTCAGATGTGATGCCAAAAGCACCAGCAACAAAAGAAAAAGTAGATAAATTGGACTTTATCAGGATTTAAAATGTGTGTTTCCAAAGACACAGTCAAGAAAGGGAAAAGGCAGTTCACCAAATGGGAGAAAATATTTGCAGTTACCTAACATGGGATCCAGAAAATATGAAGAACTCTTCCAACTCAATACTAAAAAGACAATAACTTGATTAAAAAATCAGCCAAAGGGGGCACCTGGGTGGCTCAGTCGGTTAAGCATCCAACTTTGGCTCAGGTCATGATCTCACAGTTTGTGGTTTCAAGCCCCATATCGGGCTCTGTGCTGACAGCTCAGAGCCTGGAGCCTGCTTTGGATTCTGTCTGTCTGTCTGTCTGTCTGTCTCTCTCTCTCTCTCTCTCTCTCTCTCTGCCCCGCCCTAGCTCGTGCTCTGTCTCTCTGTCTCTGAAAAATAAGTAAAAAACATTAAAAAAAAAAATTGGCCAAAGACCTTAACAGACTCCTCACCACAGAAGATCTACAGATGGCAAAGAAGCATATAGAAAGATGCATCACGTCCTAAGTCATCAGAGAATACAAATTAAAACACCCGCGAGGTGCTACTATGTACTGTGTATGTGTCAGAATTTCCACCTTCAGACGCTGGTGAGGGTGTGGAGGAACTCTCATCCCGTGCTGATAGGGATGCAAAAGTAGGGCAGTTTCTTACAAAGCTCCACATTCTCTTACCACCCATCCAGCAGTTGTGCTCCATCCTGTTTACCCAAAGGGGTTGAAAACATGTTGACACGAAAACTTTCCTGATGTTCATAGCTGCTTTTTTCACCGTTGCCAAAACTTGAAGCAACCAAGAGGTGTTGTTGTTTTTTAAGTTTATTTATTTATTTTGAGAGAGAGAGTGAGTGAGCACAAGTGGAGGAGGGGCAGAGAACGTAGAGAAAGAGAGAGAATCCCAAGCAGGCTCCATGCTGTCAGCACAGAGCCTGACGCAGGGTTTGATCCCACCAACCTCAAGATCATGACCTGAGCCAAAACCAAGAGTTGGATGCTTCACCGACTGAGCCACCCAGGGGTCCCAACCAAGAGGTCTTTACATAGGTGAATAGGTAAATAAATTGTGGTATCTCAAAACAATGGAATGTTACTAAGTGCTAAAACTAAATAAGCTAGCAAGATCTGAAAAGATGTGTAGGAACCCTAATTGCATATTACCGACTGAAAGAAGCCGGTCTGAAAAGACTACATCTGTAGGATTCCAACCAGAATCTGGAAAAAGCAAAACTGTGGAGACAGTAAAAAGATCAGGGGTTGCCAGGGATCAGGGGTAGTGGTGGGGATGAATAGGTGGAAGACAGAGGATTTTTAGGGCAGTGAAAATACCCTGTGTAACACTGTGATGATGGGTACATTCATTAAACATTGGTCCAAACTCATAGAATGTAAGACACTAAGAGTGAAGGCTGAGGTAAACTATGGACTTCAGTTAATAACAGGAAACAGTAGGTGTAACCCAGTGGCTTCCAGATAGAGAAGTGAATGGAATCTTTCGTCCTGCACATATGTATCCTGGGCACCTTTTCTGCTGCTGCCATAATTACAGCTGTGACTTGTTACTTTTATGCGTATTAATTTCCTAGGGCTGCAGTAACAAATTACCACAAACAGGGTGACTTAAAATGACACATTTAGCCTTTCACAGTTGTGGAGGCCAGAAGTCTGAAATCAAGATGTCAGCAGGGTTGGTTTCTTCTGGGGGCTCGGAGGGAGGATCTGTTCCATGTCATGTCCCTGTCCTACTTCCTGGTGGCTGCCGGCCGTCCCTGGCTTACAGTTGGATAACGCCAGTCTCTGCCCCTGGTCACACGATCCCCTGTCCTGGATCTCCCTTCCTTTTCTACAGGGATACCTGTCATTGGATTTGGAGCCCACCCTGAATCTAAGACAGTCTCATCTCAAGAGCCTTAATTACATCTCCAAATCCTTTTTCCAAATAAAGTCACATATACAGGTTCTGGGGGTTTAGGAGTTGGGGCATATCTTTTGGGGGCCACTATTCACCCCACTGTGGGTGCGCCTAGCACTGTGCTAAGCTGTCCACACAGGTCAACTCATTAATTCTCATCGCGAGTGGGAAGGGAGGTGAGTGCCATTATTCCCATTTGATAATCGAGGAGGCTGAGGCTTGGAGAGGAGTCTTAACCAAGGGCACCCAGATTGTACACGGCAAAACTGGGATTCAGATCAAAGTCTGACTGGGACACCTGAGTGGCTCAGTCGTTTAAGCATCTGACTTCAGCTCAGGTCATGCTCTCACGGTTTGTGGGTTCGAGCCCCACATCAGGCTCTGTGCTGACAGCTCAGAGCCTGGAGCCTGCTTTGGATTCTGTCTCCCTCTCTCTCTGCCCCTCTCCGACTCACACTCTGTCTCTGTCTCTCTCAAAAATAAATAAACATTAAAAAAAAAAAAGTAAAAAAAATCAAAGTCTGACTGCAAAATCTCTACCCTCTATCACACAACACGACACTTTGCATTGCCTTTGTGCGCTATGCTCTGATTTATGCAGGAAAAGTCTTTAAAATGTTAAAATGTATTGTTTTGAATAGGGAATATACGTCCATTGTCAAAACTCAGAGTCTACCAAAGGGTATAAAATGAAAAGTCCCTCTTCCCTCCCTGTCCCCCAGCCACCCACCCAATTCCTTTCCCTAGAGGCAATTGATGTCAGTGTGTCCTTGAGGGATGAAAAACCTTTTGAAATCCCTTTCAGATCTCTTTTTACTTTCAGAAAGAACCGAGGGCCTGCCACAGCTGGATGTCCTTTGGGGTTTTCACTCCCCTCCAGCTTCCAAGGCCACCAGCCAGGTTATCAGCTGCTGTAGGAAGGAGTGTTTGGAGGAGTCAAGAGGCTGGCCTTGGGGATGAGCTGCAAAGCTTTAATCTGCACTGTTCTGACTTCAAAAGAGGAGACTGGATTCCTGCATTTCTTGTGTTATTAGAAATCAATAAAAAAATATAGTGCCCCCACCCCCCCCACCCCCCACTTTGAGGGTGGTTGAGGGAGCATGTGGGGAAAGTACGTGGCCTGTGCTAAGCGATCAGCATGTGGCGGCTTTTGTTACTGTCACCTTTATGAAGGCTGCACAGGGAAGGAGGTCTGGAGGACTTCACACCTGTGAAATCTTAACCATGTGTCTTCCCTCCAGCAAAAAGGCGTTGGCATGAGTGAGCCGCTGGTGGACTGCGAGGGG